CCGGGCTTCACTCCCCCGCCCGGCAGCACCATCACCCCCCCACCCAGCGGGCCCAACCCCTATGCCCGGAACCGGCCTCCCTTTGGCCCCCAGGGCTACACCCAGCCGGGACCCGGCTACCGGTAAGGAGGGACCAACACCAACGATTCCATCCCGACAGACTCCAGGAATTTTAATTGAGATTCCAAAATTGTAGCTGTTTAATTAAATTCTGCTGGGGGGAGGGGAATGACCAAACGAATCTCCTGCTTTAAATTGTATACGCTTCCTAGTTTGATTTGGGGCTGGGTTGTTCTTGGGAAACTACCTAAATGTCTGTAAAGTGATTGACATTCTAGCTTGCCTTGTTTGAAGGATATGAAGATGCTAGTTGGAAGTTTATAGCCCACTTATCAGGCTTGTTCTTACTAATACTATGATGTACTAAATTAGACTCATGCTGGAGGTGAAACTAGATATGATGTATTATAAATTGTAATGCTCACTTGGAAAACTAATAAAAACCCTCAATCTGTTACTTGCCTGATCTTGATTTTAGAATTTAGGGAATACTGAACAAGAAGACTGTTAAGACAAATGTGTGTGCTGGGTGTACAGTTACTGAGGTACAGATCAGTGGAGAAGAGGTGGATTTTTAGGTGTGTTATGGGAGACGTGTGGTGAACACAGATTTTTATTTTCTTCAGAGGCTGTGCAGCAGTAGTGGCTTTGCACTCTGCTGTTACTAATTGCCGAGTCACTTGTCTGCCAAATTATAAGAACCAATATGTATAAAATCGTAGAGTCCCTTACTAATTTCACTTTAACACAGGCAGGGGGATAATTGGTTTAATACTCAAAAATTTAAGACAAATACATGTTTTTTAAAAAAACAACTCTGAAAAGCTTTCCACAGGTTCTTTGCCACCCAGAAAAACTAGGGAGTGCAATTCTAGTGACTTGATTTTGAGACAAGAAAAAGCAGATGAAGAGTTTGTAAGAAATTCAATATACCACAGAACAGCAGAGGGCACAACATTCTCCTAGTTAATATTTTCCATCTTGCGGATTCTAGGAATACATAAAACTAAGTAGGGAATAATAAACAAACTGCACAAGCTGTTTGAACACTCCTAAAGACAAATTAGGAAATAGTGAGTGAAAATATTCCTACACTCGGCATCCTTAACCATTGCTGTTCCCATGTCGGCCACAGCTGTCGCTCCTGCGGTTGGTGCTCCTGTTAGAGCTGACAGATGTTAACACCGGCCTGTTTCAGAACAAGTTACTGCCTGAAGTAACAGCTTTTGCCACAGAACCTGACACTTGTTTTAATGTAAAACACTAAGAAAAAACACTTGATTAAAAAATATTTTATTAGGAGTACAGTGTACCTGCAATGTACTTTATAAGGCATTTTCTATAAATGACTATTTCTATTATATATATCAGGGTGTTCCTGTTCATATTTTTTCAATACATTAATAATGTAATGAATAACACCTTAAAAAAAACCAAAAAACAAACAACCCTACATCTCTTTATTTAGTTAATAAATGTTCAAGCAGTACAACAGGTAGCTTTGGGAGAGGTTTTAATCAAAATTACTGTGAAGCAGTTTTAAAGTTGAATTATCACTATTTCCCTTTTGTCCGCAATGAACAATGTTTTAAAGCATTTTTTAAATAAAATAAACCTGATTATGCTGTTAACTAGCTTATTTCTTCCCTCTCATTTATCTTCCCAAGTCCCCCTGCACTGTACATACATTTGGCTCTTGAACCAAAAATCTCAAGACTCTGAAAACCACGTGTTCATGAAGAGCCACAGCCACGGAGGCCAGTTTCGTGTTTTTATTCCATGTGCACGTTCACCTTCCTGCTTTAACTGGGGGAAACCAGACCTACTGCCCAGCTGCTGCCCAGCCCACTGGCAGTGGCCCTAAGGCCACAGCAGTAGGCTGGATGTACCCTTGGGCTCGAGGTGACGCATTTGCAAACAAACATGGGAAGAAAACCTCACTAACCTGATTGTTCAGAGCTGCACGTATTAGCAACCTACCTCAGCATTTTGGCAGGAGTATAAACTGGTTGTACATGTGAGGAGAAAGCGCTTCAGGTTTACTGGTTGCGGGGTATTAAAAATTGTAGGGTCTCATCTATAATTTATGACTGGGGAGACATTACTGCTCTATCTGGACAGGTAGCTTATGGCACTTACGTTGTAAGAAAACCAGTGAATATTTAAAAACTAATGCACATTGCATTCTGTGACCAACTCTGCCATAACTGTGCCTTAAACATTTATTACAACACAGATAAATAATATACACACTGTATCTTTTAAAATACCATATAAACCATACCTCAAGAATAGGTAGCCAGCTTCCCTATACATTATCCTACAACATATCCCTAGCCTGTTTCAGTTTGGTTTTCTTTTAATCTAAAACCAAATTTGTAAAACTGGATAACTACAGTAAGCAGCCTATGCTATTACACATTGCAGTATTGGCATTAGATTTGTATAAACCCTTGCACATCAGCAAACTTAAGTGCCAGGTGTACCATAAATGTATCCATCTCTGAGCCTGTGCTGGGCAGTGGGGCGGTGGGTGCGGGGCCTTTTCACCAATTTCATGTTGCATCTACCACTTTCCAGGAATTGATGTGCCACACTCGTACCAGCGAACGTAGTTAATGTGAGTCTCCCCACCTATTTTTCCAAATTTGACGGGTTCTTGACGAACTGCCCTGAAAAATCCTGGAAGAGAGAACAAAACATGGTTTTTGCGTGAAGCCTGCAGCCAGTGCTGTCCTTTGATTTCCCTGTGAGGTCTGCATACAATTCAGTTAGTGGCCTTAGTAGTCACTGAGCTGTTACCCACCCATCTGCCATGACCAGGTCTGCTTGCTGCCCTTCCATCCATTAGCACTCTGAAGCAGCTGGTGCTTTGCTTGTCCACCCAAGGCAAGCAAAAGCAGAAACACTTCGGGTGGCTGCAGCTCAGGCCAGGAGAGGTGAACCCTGTCTCCCTGTGAGACTTTGTGTTCCCATGCTGGCAGGGCAAGGCCCATGCCCTCTTCTTCTCCTGCTTTGGCTGCTGCTGGGGTCTTCTTTAAATAGGAGGCTGTTCCCGTTTGCAAAGTTACAATGCTTACATAGTCCCCACTGCATTGGCCGTAACATTCCAGTAAACCTAAATAAAACTTGACAGTTGGGGATATTTCACACTACCTACCTCTCCCTTCCCAAGTGAAAGATCCAATCTCCAGCTTTCAGTCTGTTCTGTGTGGCAATACACATGCTTCTCATTCAAAAACTTAAGTTAAAAGTGAGCAATTAATGCTGTATCCAGCCTGACCATCAGAAATGTATGTGTGGCTAAAGCATGCATGTGTGCACACACAAGATGTGTGTGCCCATGCACACACGCACACACACACTACAGTTCTGCAGCTACTATGCAACAGCAGTCATGATTCCCTCCCTGCACGTCAGGTCAGATGTATGGAGTTAAGTCTGGTCTGAACAGGACTTGCCACCGTCAGGGAGAAACAAAGCAGCCATGAACAAGCTGTCTGTTCTTTCCTCTGCTTAGTTCATTGACTAGAAATACAAGCTACAGGAAAGGTGGGGGGCGGGGGTGTTAGTTTTTGTTTTGTTGTGTGGTTTTGATGGGATTTTTGTTTTGTTTTGTTTGTTTGTTTGTGTGTTTTGGTTTTTTTAATAAAATTAAACATGAATCCACTCAAATCCAGCTGCTGAAAACACATTGGTTTTAAATGTCTTTTAGACTGGGGTAGTGAAGTTTTTTGTAATGTAGGAGGACTTTTTTATTATTTATAAAATCTTTTTAAAAAAGAGAATCCAACTGAGAGGTCCTGGCAACACCAACTGGATTCAGACAATCCCTTAAATAAACTAAATACCTTTACAGATGGGCAACACTGACTGGGAAAGGAATAGCAAAGCCCTCTCTAAGAAAAAACAAACATAAATAACTATCACATAAGCAAACACTTTTTAGATCATTCACCTACTTTGTTTTTGCAAAAAACTAATGAAATATTTAGCTTTCACTATAATCTCCCACACCTACCTCGATGCATTTCTGCACTTCTGCAAGGTGTTTTAGAAATGAAACACTACAGAGAGGAAGGTTAGGTCAGTGCACTCACTGATAATGTGCCGAAAACCATTTTGATCTTGTCCTCAGTAAAGTATTCCATGGCACACTCGGCACGCACACGCGTACCAGCACAGCCTGCCTTCTTACCCCACAAGGGAATGGAGCTCCTCACGCTGGCACTGCTGCTGACAAGCACGGCAGGGCTCCAGCTGACAGAAGAGCAATTTTCTTATGCTAGAGCCTCAGCAACATGTGAAGAACAGCCAGGCAGGTCACAGCTGCGTTCAGGACAACCACCCTGTGCCCGCTTAGACCAGACTGGAATGCTAGGCACCCAGTTCAAACAAGTGCACACAGAGTTACTGCACCATGAATTGTATTTTCCAGTAATAACTCTTCAGATTCTCGTTAGCACGAAACAAAGCTGTTTAATGCCCAACTGACAATTTACTGCACTTTAAATCAACCTTGCTAATTTGAACAGAACACTTCATGCCTGTCTGCAAACTCAAAGTTTGGTTGGGTTTAAATATCTAATGCCAACAGTGAAAAATCTGTTGGAATGTTTTAACCAGGAGAGAGGTTGTTTACTGGCTAACAGAACCCAAGCCATAACCTTCATTTAGCAAGTCATCGCTCATCTTCAGAGTCTTCTCTACTCTCTTCTGCCTGCAGAGCTGGTAGTCCCTTTCCATCGCCCACCCCAGCAGTGGGTGCTGAATCCACCGACAGGAAAAAGAAACAGAAAATGGAATTGACGAAGTTTGTTACAGAGACAGGCATAAGGAATTACCGTCTTTGACTGGTAGATCTTCTTGCTGTCCTGTCCTTCCATCTAAGAAAGAGTCTACAAATTGGCAGTGATCTTCTCCATGGCCCCTCTGGTCTCCTATGTTATAAAATTTTCCTGAAAGCAAAGCAGCAGCAAAGTTGAAAAATCCATATCCAGTTTAGTGAGGGCTGTTTCCAAAACCCACCAGAGGCAATGGGCTGTGCTCTTTGCTCTGTGGGGAAGCCAAGGTGAACACTACGATTCTTTTCCTCTCAGGGTTTGTAGCTGTAATTCAAACATTATGTGCATACTCCAAGTACAGTGCTCATGGCTATAGACTAAAGTGCCCTATTCCTGGCCAAATTCTATGCCTGTATGTACTTTTCCCCCTCCTTACATTTCATAAAGTAAGTGAAATTCTCTTATTACCTAGAACCTTGATTGTGTCAAAAATGAGGTAAGTTTTGCTAGTGATTTGAAAGGTTTTCCTCCCTGACAAGAAGCTCCCAGGACCTTTAAAGCTGTTTTTATAGACCACCTCATAACACAGCCAAAGCCTGTTTTATAAATCATCATATTTCTACAAGTGATATCCTTTAACAAATAGATGACCTCGGTATGGTAACTGCTTATCCAGAGCATGAAGTGTGCCCATGTATTTCCAGGATTGTGTAACGGGACACTTGACTGCAACTGAGTAGAAAACAAGGTCTCAAGTGCCCCATGCGGTGTGTGCTGACCTTATGGGCTGTGCTCATTCTGTTAACAAGAGGACTCACAGTGAAGGAGTTTTGACAGAGAGATGTTTTTACTTAGTGATTGGATTTGCAAGACGTTAGTAAAATTCAGTTCAAAAGATGGAGAAAAGCATGCTACCTTCTCTTCCCAGGCCTTGGGAGGAAACATTTTCAGATAAACTTACTGTCTTTTCTAAATGCTTTTCACAGCACTTGTTTTTAATATATTCAACCTTTGGTTGTGAGGTTGAGAGGAAAGGAGAGAGCATTTAGAAACAGGCTCAGTACTCAGGGATAAGCTAAGCAGAAAGTCCAGTTACTCGTTAGATGTTGGGTGTCCTGTAGCCTTGAATCCGTGCCAATGTGGCTGTTCGAGAAGTAGTGAGGTGGCTTATAATACTGCTCCCTAAAGTGCAATTAATAGAAGAGCAGCCTACCCATAAAGTCTCCCTTTTGCATATTTTTCTGATCTGATCAATACTTTGCCAAAAAATCTCACCTCCCCTCAATGGTCTCTGTGCATGGAGTTCTGCTCTAGCTTTAGAGAATTATTTATTACTGTCTAGTTTTGGCTGCAGGCATGTTTTTTTCCATAGGAGAACTGGTCAGAGGGAGTTCCTCTCAGCAATGTTTTGGTCTGAAATTAAGAACATTCAGGCTGCCCGAAATGGCTTTTTTTTTTCCCATGGCTGTTGAAGGTCACACTTAGAATTTATTCTTTTCCTCCCCTCAATAAATACTTTTTTTTTAGGTGGCCTGCTTCTGGAATGCCTACAGCAACTGCTCTGGAGGACTGTTAAATGAGGTCAGCAGTAGATGCTGGTTTATAGAGCAGTCCTGGCATGTGTAACGTAGGTCCATTTTTCTTCATGAGACAGAATAAAACATATTTTTATGGCTAACTCAAGAACAGTAATTTTCAGATACACACATACTCATTTGGCCCAGAGTGTAGCCTATGCATAATTAAAACAATTGCTATACATAAATTAGCAGCTTTCTCAGTGACTATTAAATTCTTACTGACCAATTCTTTCCATAATAAAGGAACATACTTAAAAACATTTAGCTAATGAATGACTAGATAAATCTCTCACTTTTGGGTATAGCAATTCTAGCATACAGTAAATTAATTTTTTTCCAGTGTTCCCTTATGGGTGATCTTAGAAAATTAGATACCATCTTTGTTTTATACATTGTGAATTTGCAACATTAGAAGTATAAATTCGTGCTAAAAACCAGCACGCAAAGATTTGATTGTTGCCTCACACAACAGCATTTGTACAATGCACCCAAATTACAGGATCATGACACTGCTTAACAGCAAAGCTTTGGAGCATAAAGGAGAACCCAGACCTCAGCCCAGCACTTCGTACTAGCACACATTGCCCAGCTGGCTGGTGCTAGCAGAGACACTGCCGCTGGCCTTGGGAGAACCATGAGGCACCACGAAGCAAGGTGTGACAGCACAAAACTTCAGAACAGAGTTTGGCTTTACACTGGAAACCTTCTCACTCACATAGAAAGGCCGGTGCCATGGCAGTCTCACTTAGGAAACGGGGGAAAAGCAGCTTTCCTTCTACATAAATACTTCAGTTCTTTCAAATATTGACACAACTGGTCAGCACTGGTTGTAACAGTTCCAGTGCAAGAACCAGGCTTAGCAAGTATAGTGAATACAATTTGGCTACCATCAGCTTTCTCTAGCCAAGTTAAACCACCACCCTTCCAGCAAGAGCAAAAACAAATTAATGAAAATAGAAAAATGGGGTCATGATACATTAAACTTTTCTTCTAAGATTGAAGTATCTTTCACTGCAGTGTTAATTCACTTGATTTAGAGCTGCAGTCTAGTCCTGCTAGATTAGCACTGCTATTTCCTATACTGGCTGGTTTTGTGATACACTCTGCCTCATTGCCAGTGTTTGTCATTTAATCGCAGCTGGTTAGTACAGCGACAGGCTGAATGAATGAATACCTCTGTTCAAAACAGACTTTTTTATTCACAGAATTGCCAAGATATTATTTATGTATGAGGTATTGTACTTACTATTAATGACAGGGCTTTCCTTCCTTGTCTGCTCCTGGGAGAATGTTGCCAGGCTCAAGGCTGGGCAGCTTAAAATTGGATCAGCATGGGCTGCCCTACACTGCCCTGCTCTTTTCTCTCCATGTTCCTACATAAAGAGGCCAGAGCCCTGCTCCTGTGAGGTGCTGAGCTCTGAGATGGAGCAGCTTTGTTGTTTCTTTCAGCCACAGTTCCTCCTAGGTAATTCAATCCATTAGGATGAACATGCTGCCTAACTTGCACCTGAAGACATTTCCCATGGACACTTGTATTATACTTCTTGTGCTCTGGATGCCATACTAACACCATTGTGATAGACCTGTCCATGCAGGTCTGATAAAAGACCTCATACAGAAGGCAGGATCTTGGGATGGATTATAAGAAGTTAAAATATTTCTAAATATGGCTTGTACAATCTACATGAGATAAAAAATTCTACTTAAGTATTAATTAATTGAAAACCACTTTTTGCAGGCTGTTTTTCCCCATCTTACACACAGCCTGTATCACTTGATTCAGGTCTTAAATACATGACCTTAAGAAACTGAACAAAACTTGAGAAGATAAGGCCAGGAGGCTGCTGTTAGTAATACCAAAAAACATATTATAAGAAAAAAAAAAAGGTGGGGTAGGGGGAGGAAAGACATTATAAACAAAAATGGGGAATGCGAAAACAAAACTATCAAAACAGGTGAATAAAAGCTGTTGACTAGAGTTGAAGCCATGTATTTATAAGCTGCACAGTAATGAAATAACCAGATGTTTATCAAATGAGGTGGGAATGATCGAGTCTAATCTTGGTCTAAAATTAGGTTCTAATCCTTTAATTAAGAACCCTTAAGAACCAATTAATTAAGAACCAATTAATTAAGAACCAGGTTACCCTTTAAATACGAATTTGGCACCTTTACAATATATGCTATTCACTGGCAGAGACTTGATCTTTATCAATTTTCTGTATGACCCTGGGATACTAACAGGTACTGCAAATCAGATGATCACCACAGAGAAGTAACTATTGAGTCTGAAAATTCAGTATCAAGCACATCGATGATTACTGAGCACAAGCAAATTAATGTTTATGATTAATCAGTCTATGAACTAGATTAAACATACTTGACCACACTTCAGCAGAGCCCATCATGTTAAACCTCATAGTTCTGGAACCATGGTATCTTTAAGGAGCATATAATGTGGACAACATGGTCTTGAATGTCTCTTACCTGTAAGTGAATCACTGAGGTATATCTTGTATCTCAAAGAATTACACAGCTGCACACCTACAAACTTCTTATACCAAGTCCGCTTTACATATTGTCTCCCTTTGCATTCTGAATAGGTGTCTGAACTGAATGGGATTTCAGTCCAGATAGCATCCTTTCCCACTGCAGAAGAGGATGAAAGAGGCTGAAGTATGATGCTGCACACAAAATTATGTACAACAAATATATTAAAACAAATAGAATTGGAAACCTTGATGGAGCAGAATGCACCATAGCACTAGTCACCTGCATTATGAACGTGAAAGGTATTTCATCAGGGAAGCACCAAAGGGTGCAGATATGATCTATGCAGTAAACTGCTTCTGCTCTCCGTGTGTGGTGCCAGTTTGGAATAAATTAGTTCTGGAACCTTGTTAGGAGGACAATGTGTTGCCAAAACTCTCAGTTACAAAGCATGTGATACAGTCACTGTTTTTCAGTGGGTTCAAGCCAGGACAGCCAACTTGCAGCAAAAGGTGTGTGATTTTAAAAAAAATATACGTAAAAAATTAAGTGTCATGAATTATGTGGAAAGAAACGGTGTCTCAGTGTTTGTTGAAGTGATGGTCATTACAAATGCAAAGAGCAGCCCAATTTGTTTGAGTGATCTCAGCTGCTCTTCAAAAGCTCAGTCCGCCTCTCACCAAAGACAGCAAGAGTCTTGTAATTGTCCTAAAGCAAAGCTGGATCAAGCCTTCAGAAGCAGAAATTTTTTCTGAAATACAATGGCAGATAAATAGTGTTGTCCAAGTTGTGGTCTGTTAACTCACTTTAAAAGTGTGAAGTAGCTTATTCATTTTACAGAGCTTTCTTTTGCTTTAATGACAAGGCTGAGAAAATATGAGGCTGTCCTTGGCTCATTTGTGTACATTGGTTTGAAGCCATCCCAGCTGCCACGGGAGCGCCACATCATGTTGATTGCATTCCGCTCAGGTAAACAAGCAGCCTGGCATGGGTTCCTCACCAGGGGTGTGGGTGGAAGGAGTGAACTCATGTGTGAATGCTGTTTGATTCTGTAACTCATTGAACTGCAATACAGTCACCCCTCTCATAAAATTATGCTATCTCATTTCTGAAAAAAAAAATCTTGATCAGAACACACAATACCATACATAAAAGGCTTACTTGAAATTGGCTCACTCACTCTTGGGTCCGCCAGGGAAAGAAA